GTACAGCTTTGGAAAAGAAGGAGGAAAAAAAGGGGGGGAGATTGAACCAGCCAACGGAACTGGAGTTTGGTGAGTAACGCCCAATTTCGCTGATCGTCATGCTTGGGGGACTTACGGATGACAGAAATCAATCACCTTTGCTCATCTGTGCCGTGAAGACTCCTGGCATGGCCCCCCAGAAATCCTCTGAGCAAACCGCCCATCAAATCCCCCATCCCCAAATCGGAAAGGAGTTCGCAGTGGCCCAACCTCAGAGGACATTTTGTGACGTTCGAATCATGTTCGACCCGCGACGTTGGCCACCCCATTCAGTGGATGACCGTCCCTAACCCCAATATATCAATTTCTTAATCATATCCTCCAAGATGGTGTACTCCGTGTGGCTTCCCTTCCACCCCCCTCCCCCCCCCCAAAAAAAAGAAAGAGAGAAGGTATCCTCACAAGAAGAGCATAAAAAAGATAGGCCCATATCGCTGATATGCTGCACTGAGAAATGCCTCCCCCACTTTCGGTCTCCTGAAGGGCCAGCAGGAGACCCGGGCATCATAGCGCATCCTCCCGCAGCAGCTGTGGCTGCAGATGCCGGGGACTCCGCTCCTTGCCGGCTTCAAGGCTAAGGCTTGGCTGTTGGTGCCCCACCTTGCAGATTCTTTGTTCGTACTAAAAGAATGCCAAAAGAGTGTTAAAAGAGTGGTAACAGAGTACCATCATTGGTGAATCCACAGTTGCAGCGTCTAAAATGCTGTCTAGAGTTGATGGACAAAATCCTGCACCAGGTGGACTAGGTGGCTCCTCCAATATTTCGCCCGCCAACAGCATCAACCCCGTGTTAATCCACCCAGTGAATTCATAAGGGTCGTCTTCCTTCCACCCTCCCTTCTTCTGCAGTGCCCAAATTACCCTAAAACCCCGCAAATACGACCAACTTCCATCCACAACTCCCACCCTCTGCCCCCACTCCTCTCTCCCCCCTCCCCCTCCCTCCCCCTCCCTCCCCCCTCCCGCCCCGCCTCCCGCGACTTTCCCGCGGCGCGCCAGACTTCGCCACGCCCTTCGCCGCGACCGGCGCCGCGACCTGCGGGCGGCGGTGCAGGGCCCAGCGCTCCAGGGCCAGGCGCTGCGGCTCGGAGCACCGGGCCTCGACCCGTCGACCCATCCGCTAAAAAAGTGCTTCTTTGGTTTCCAAGCTTTAAAAGATTAAAAATAAAAGAAAGTGTTGCTGGTGGTTTTGCAAACTTTAAAAAAAAGAGGTCAGTTTAGATCTTTGTAATAGGCTTTCCCTTGGTGTAAGATGGGGTGTCAAGGGGGGGTTGTCCAACATGAAGGAGAAATCGCTCACTTAGGTGTGGCTCAAAATTAAACAGCTGGGGCAAACCGCGGGTTTCAGTCTACCTGTCCATTTACCAAGTTCAAGCCATTGTGAACCCCTATTTTTGAGCCACACCCAAAAAGATCCAAAAGAACCTAAGGAACCGCATGGTCGGTTGAGCAACCAAGTTTTTGGGGTCACGCGTTGAGCAACCAAGTTTTGGGGGCATGCGGCCGAGGGGAACAAGCTTGATGTGATGGGTGGGGAATGACCACGAGATTTTTGGGGTGTTGGTGGAATGAATTGGTTTTGGGGAGTCCCCGATAAAGGAACCAAATCGAGGATGGTTTATGTGGGTCATTCCAACTCATTCCCTGCTAAGAACCAGCAAGTAACGCCATGGAACCTCACTGATGGGTCCAGGGTAATTTCCGTAGGGGAACCACCCCTGGTTTCCCTGGTACAGTTGAGTGAAATTGCCACATGTTGGTTTAGTCCTGCCCTCTTGCCTGCAAGGAGATAGCGCCATCTACTTGCGGCGTGGAATAGGATCCCCAAGTGGGTTTGGCCAAGAATACTCACCAGTTACTGCATAAGTGGCTACCCTCCCACGAAGAAGCAGAAGGCCCCTTGAGGAACACCATCTTTCCCAAAGGACACCGTAGCGGACACATTGCAACCAAGCCCATTTTCCCCTTCGCCAACAGGCCTAGTCTTCAAGGGGCGAGTACCCAACAGGAACTCCGTGAGTGCTGCCCTCCACCCGCTAAGATGGAACCTGACTGGGGGTTCCACTTTCCCAAATTCAATTGGCGGTCTTCATCTATATTCAGCCAAGCTGACCTTAAAGAACGCGTATGGCAGGCAAACTATTTCGGGTGGAAGTGTAGGGGTTCATGTGGCACCCAAAAGATCACCCGAACGAGAAAACCAGTGAGGCTGATGCTCCTCCCCAGCAGGAGCAAGGGGTTCCCGACCTTCCAATCTGATCTCCACTGGTTGCTCAAGGCACGGCAATCGACCTTGAGTCTTTTATTGGCTCTCAAACACTTCGAGGTGAATTTACTGCAACAAACCCCAAAAGAAGAGGAATGCCCCGTGCCCCTCCCCTGCATGAAAACTGTTTGGCGTTTTTGTAGCCACTGGCTGGATATGTGTCTCGCAAGAAAATCGTGACTGCGCTGCCTTAAATCGCCTTCAACTCACTCGCCCAGAAGCCATCAGAGAAAAAGAGTGCAAACCAAAGCCAAAGATGAGCGATGCTTTTCCCTGATACGAAATGCAAAGCAAAACCAAAGCAGATCCTTCTGAAACAAGCCGTGGTCTTGCTTGCTCAAGAGGCAGACAAAGACCCGCCGAAAGAAACGCCCGCCCCCAATTTGCGCGATGCCCGGAAACTTGTTGAATTTCCACAATCTCCCAACCAAGGTGCCAGCAGCTGGCGGCGCTCTGTGGCAGACACCTGATAAGGGGGTGCCTCTTGGCTAATGGAAAGGAAATCTCCCTCACCACCCGCCCCACCAAAACAAAAAGGCCCAAGGGTCGTTAGATCCGAGCCCCAAGGTGGTAGTCTGTTCGGGAACGGCCAAAAGAACCCCGATGCCGCAAAACCTCTTCCCACCCGAAAACCGCGATGGCAGGGCCCCAGGCCACCGCGAAGATTGCCGTACTTCCCCCGACCCCCCTTGACATGGAACCAAACAAACCAGCCCCAATTCCCAAAAAAATATCTCAGTCCCATGGGAAAAAGAAATGCAGAGCATCCCGTCTAGGCAGAGCTGTTTGGGCCCATTGCATACCTGACTGGTACGCTGTGGTGTGCTCGTTTGCCTGAAAGCCAGCCAAGTACTCTCTAGTGTCCAGATGGCAAGCTGAAACCGACCGAATCCAGCCGCACATGTCCAACCAAGCTCATCTACTATCACATGTGTGGACTCCAAGCAATTGAAATTCCTGAGAAGGGGCGGTGTGCCGGAATCGTCAGAAAAGTATCATGCTCTCAGCCCCCAGGTCTTCATGCCTTCTCAACTGTTGCAATACCTGGAAACGCAAGGTGTTTCGGGAATCCACAAATCACACGCGCGTCCAGAAAGAGAGAGCGTCCTAAAAGAACAGCTGGACACATCCCCCTCAGTCGCGGTTGAGAGCCCCAGAGCCCCCACCTGCTGTAGGAGCCGCCAGAGCCTTTCCTCACAGCTCTTGGGTCTTGACAACCTGGGCTATCGCATTCCAAAATTGCAATGGACCGGGGCCCAATAAAACTGACTTTTGGAAATCCAAAAAGGGGCAAATTAGTGAGGGAGGCGTGTACAAGTGTCCGATGCAGCGGTTGCGAGCAGCCATGCCCCGCACTCAGCTTCCAATGATCAGCACAAGACGCACATCATCATTTTTTCGCCGAGTGTCGTGGACGCCTGCTTCATGCTTGTAGCCCTCAATGATGATGGTGATGATGGCTATGGTGGCAATGATGATGATGGTGATGATGGCAGTGGTGGCGGACATCATCAATGCTGAGCGCGCGCATCTCCAATTCGCAAGACGGATTGACGTACATGGCCATAGCTGTCCTGAGCAAGTGCACGGACAGCCTCTGAGCACACAGTTGTGCCCAACCCCAACAGGAACCGCCGGTTCTACATCGGTAAGGTCTTACTGTAAACCCCTATTGAAAAACCATCCACTAAAGGTCCTTTACTCACAATGTCACCCTCCAAACCTGGCCGATTCGACTGCCGGTTGACATTAGCGCTACACCCTCTGACTCTCACATGTTGCCCCAAAACTTTGCAAGGGAAACAAGTTGGAATCCCAGTGACTTGCCCAATAGGGTCTTGTGGTTGGATAAGGGTGGTTCCCTTGCAATGTTCTGTTGGAATGCACCATACCGCTTGCCGCCAGAGTCGCATTTTTGATGTCGGGCCGGCGCCCACGAGTCTGTTCACGGGGGAGAGCGAGTCTCGCTTGAGCTGAAAACCGATGGGATTGTCAACAAACAAATGCGAGCTGTGTAAGGATTCAGCTTGTACCTTGTCGTGTATGCGTGTGTCTGTGTCTGTGTGTGTGTGTGGAACTTAAAGAATCATTGACAACGCTGCTGGATTGGATGACGTGCAATTATCCTTTTTGGTCAAAATCGATCGGACCTCCTAGCACAAGGCTGTCTGTACTCATTTCGCCCACTATCGTCTTCTATAAGTGATGCCACTAGCAAAAAGCGGTTAGCCGAGTAATGGCCATTGCAGGGCTAAACAAGAGATGGAGTGTTGGGGTAGATGGATGTTGGTGGGGGGGGGGGGGACGTTTTGGGCCGCCTTTAAAGCGAGTCCAAAACAGGGTCCATATTCTTGACAATCCCCCTATGTGTCCTTTGGGTCAATCAGCCTTGTGCCGGCCACATCAAACCATGTTCAAGCAGAGAATCCGTTGGTAGACATCATTAACCTGGCCCCGGTGATTTCATGCATGAAAAGAGTTGAAAAAAGGGGATGTGTGTCCAACCAAGTCCAACCATTCAGGTGCTCCCAACTCCAACCAGTACAAAATCAAGGCAGCATGTTCACAACCTATCCCAGTATCCAACACCAGCTTCCATGCCCCTTCCCAGACGTTTTGTAAGCCTGTGCCGAGGCCGGTCTTCCGATGTGCCTGTGCACATTCACAGTGATTCACACCTCCAACTTCCGCCGTCCTGGGGGTTGATGCCCTGAAGCAGCGCCTGCATGTCCCCAACGTGTGAAACGAGGCATCTTGCAGGATCCCCAAAGCTCAACCGCACATCCTACAAGCCCCAAGACGCTCCATGGCCCAAAGCTTTCTCATTCAAAATGCTGCTTCTTGGGGCGCAGCTGAAAGTTCCGATTCCGGTCCAGAATCGATGAGCAAAACTGATGAGCTCAACACAAACAAACAGTTGGACTAGTACAAGTTCGCATGTGTTGACATCAAGCAAACTGATGCCAAACACATCGTGCAGCAAACCTGTGACCACAGACAGCACAGCCTGCATGCCGCCAAGAGCAGAAGGCGCCGGCGCCCGCGCCGGCGCCGCTGCCGCCGCCAGGGCGGCTCGTTCGGCCTCCTGAGATGAGAGGAGGAGCTTCCGGAGCGCGGCAAAAGAATCCCAAATTTTACCATATGGCCGAAATCTAAGGAAAGGGATTCTCTAGTAAAGGATATGTTACCATGGTGAGCTCGTTTTACCCCCAGGTGAGCTCGCCATCAATTCTGCAAAAAAGACTATGTGTGTGTGTGTGTGTGTGTGTGTTTGTATGTTTCCTTGAAGTGGGCCCTTTTCACGTTGGTGTAAACAGAAACGAACATAAAACACACAATTGTTGAGGTCCCCCTTTAACATAAATCCACGTGGGAGTTGCCTCTGCAAATATCCGTTTCCCTATGGCTGAAAGGCGTGGGGGTGTCTTGTTTGGCCTGCCTAAGGAAATGGCAACAGGACATGGAGACCCCCAAAATGATCGATTCCTTTGCGCGTCAAAAATGAGCAAAATAATTCCCTGGCAGGCCTTGGAAAGGGAGCTGTCGCGTAAGCCGCCACCCTCAGCTTATCTGGTCATCACCCCAAGTTCGGCAAACGAAAGGGTGGATGCAAGACAGGGCTCTTCATGTGGGCATCCCCTCAATTCGGATAACGAGTGTGATGCAAATGGATCGTGCTTTGCAGCTCATTTTGAGACAAACCCTTGTGAAACACAGTCGACCTGCATGGTCAGCTTCCTGGATACGAAGCTTTTGCATTGGCTGTCTAAAGAGGTTGATGACCATCCCTACCAGCCCGTAAAGGCTCGAATCTAACCATAGCACATACAATCAACATAACTGTTCTCCCCAAGAGGCCATTGCGGATTCGGTGGCTTTGCTTGTGGTCCAACTTAGAGCTCCACCACCCCCGTCTCCCAAATGGGAGACGACGATCCTCGGCAGCTCGCTGCTGGCGCCGTGCCTAGAGTAGGGTTTCCGAAAGGCCAACGGCAAGCAGAAGAGAAAGCACTGCCCAGTCCGCCCAACCCAAAGCATTCGGATGGGGTTCTGGAGTATGGTACCATATTCACAGAATATCCCCTGGAA